ACCCCAAAACCCCAAAACCCCAAAACCCCTTTTAACCGAGTTTTATTTGAAAGTTTATAAAAATAAAAGGGAATGGAGCTCATACGGAAGGACAATCCTACTAAGGAAGAATACGTCCTTGGACGTATTCTTTCAACATTCGGAATGCGGAAGGTGTCCACAGACAAAGTTAAGAAGCTTTTCGAAAGTCAAGAGATCTCGTAAGTCACATCCATCCTTTCTGCATCTCCAAGGATTTGACATATTGAGATATCCCTTGGAATTCAAATCTTGACCTCAAGTTGGTCTTAGATATCAAGATTGTAGCATTCTTGGTTAAGAGATCTGGCGCTGGGATTTGGCAAGCCTGGTAGCTCAGGGATCTATTTTTCCTCCAAGATTTTGCTGACCAGCTTTCTAAAATTTTGGATACAAGAAATTGTTTTATTCATAAAATTTAAAATTTATTTAAAATTTTTGAACCTTGTTCCAAATATCCAAACCTATAAGATTTTTTATGTCAGCTACTAGCTGACCTTGAGCTGCCTTGGCTTAGGAATAAGGAAGCTGTGTCCCAAAATTTATACCCTAGTTGTTAGATCTTCAAAGAGTGCATTGCCAACTTGATTACTAGAGATTTTAGTTAAGCGTTAGCAGCTCCACTGACTAAAGGGATGAGTTCCAAACATACCCTCACACTTTATATCAACCTTAGCTAGAGTATTTATTCATTGCTCTGTTTGTTAGAAATAGTAACTATTGACTCAGGAACTCAGGAGTGGTTGCCGCCAATTTTCCTACCTTCCTACTTCCCTATTCTGAGACTTAGGTAGACAAAGATCTTGAAGTAGGATCAAGAATTTATTTTTCCCTTAGAGATTCCATAAATCGTATTGGTCGCTTGAAATCCAAATTTGAAAACAGAAATTTGAATCCTTTCTTTTGAATAATCAGCTGAATTGGATATTTCTGCCCAATTTTTCGAACTGTCTAATAATCCCTCACCCCAAGTTTACTAATTATGGATCTAGGGAAAATCTTGAGAAATTCTTCAAACCGGAGATGGGAGTTTTCTGGTTGATGGCTTTACAAACTAGTGCCGAAGCCATCCAGTTGCACTCAGAACTACCTCCCCTCAACTCCATAAAGAAGAAGGCAGTGCTTGTTTTCAAGCCAAAGATGGACTACGATCTTGAGATTGACGAAAAGAACATGATGAATGAGATTAGTATTATCGAAATTAAGAGAAGCGTGCTAGATAATCTTTCAGTTATCTGTAAGGAAGTCTTCTTGCCAATCCTCAGCAACCCTGATAACCAAAAAGAGTGGTCAGAGCTAGTATCTAAAGATCTAATGGATAAATTCAACCACTTCTTAGCCCAAGTTTATGTCACTATTGGGCAAGTGAAAGGAAGGACTTTGTTACCTCTTCCACCAAGTGATGCTACAAGCTTTGAGAGCAAGTCAAGCAAAGACAAGGCTCATATTCTGGAAAGCTCGATCATCACTTGGACTAGACAAATCAAGAATGTTCTAAAGCAAGATCCAGAAAGTGCACTCAAGTCTGGAAACAATCCAGATCCTTTAACTGAGATAGAATTCTGGAAGAACAAGGCAGAGAACTTGAACTCAATTTACAAGCAACTCCAAAGTGAGAAGATCAAGAAGGTCTTGAAGTTCCTTGAACAAAACAAGAGTACTTACACTGGACCTTTCGGAAGATTACAGAAAGATGTGCAGACAGCTAGGACTGAAGCTAATGACAACCACAAGTACTTGATTACATTGAAGGACCTCTTCATTGGATTGACTGAAGAAACTGCTGAATTTGAGAATCTTCCAAATTTCTTCTATCCAATCATGCATACTATCCTGCTGATTTGGAAGAACTCTACCTACTATAACACTCCTTCAAAGCTAGTTGTGTTGATCAGAGAGATATGTAATGCTATTATCAGCCAAGCTCTCAACTACATCAATGGAGAACAAATCTTTGCTCTTATCAAGAACGAAGAAGCCAAGGAAGCCAACGATCATCTGACTAAGACCTTGGAAGTGTGCTCGAAGTTCAAGGAAGCTTACTACGTGTACAGAGAAAAAGCTGATAATGAGTGGAAGATCACTACCAATGCTCTCTTCGTAAGACTTGATGCATTCGCTGAAAGATGCCAGGATATTATCCACCTTACTTCCACTATTATCCAGTTCAATAAGCTCGCGAAGATTGAAATTGGTGGAACTAAGGGTAAAACCCTCACTGAGACAGTCCACGGAATCCTCAGAGAGTTCGAAGAGATAGTCGAGAAATTCCAAGAGAAGGATTATGACATCATGGACATCTCTATCAAGAAGTTCGATGATGACTTCTTCATCTTCAGAGGAAAGATCAAAGAGCTTGAGAGAAGACTTGCCTCAACTCTAACCCAAGGATTTGATGACAGTGATACCATCCAAGGAAAATTCAAACTTCTTGAGTCATTTGAAGGACTTCTCACCAGACCAATTATCCAAGATGAACTTGAGAAAAAGCATATCATTTTGCTAGATCTGTATAAGAACGATCTGAAAATTGTTCAGAACATCTTCCATGAAGGAAAAGCTCTTGTCGATAAAATTGATGAGAGAGCACCAATTGGAAACAACATGCCTCCAATTGCAGGAGCTATCTATTGGACTACAGGTCTTCTTGAAAGAATTAAAGAGCCTATGGAGAAACTATCTACTCTTTCACAATCCATTCAGGATAGAGAAGAATTCAAAGACATTCAGAAGCTGTATGCCTCTATCTGCAAGAGTCTCAAAGAATTTGAAGACCAAAAAGTAGCCTCTTGGGAAGACAGTGTTGACGACCATACTGACGAAAACCTTAAGAAGAACCTCTTGATAATGGAAGAAGAAGAAGATCAGAACTACCTTGCAGTCAACTTCGACCCAATGCTGGTTGGACTTCTCAGAGAAGTTAAATATCTGAGACTTTTGAACTATCAAGTACCAGAGAAAGCTCAAGGACTCTATGATAAGGTAGATACTTACAGAACTCAGACTGGAAACCTTGACTTGATTGTACATATGTACAATGAGATCCTCTCTACTCTCTTGCCTGTTGAAAAGCCACTTTTGAAGAGCAAGATTGAGCATATAGACAAAATCCTGCAACCAGGAATTGATACTCTAAAGTGGAATGATTCGAACATTAATCCATTTATCAAAGAAGCTATGGAAATCATCACTGACGTCAGCATGCTTGTTAAAAAGATGAAAGAGAATGTCAGGAAGATGGAAGTCATGACTGAAGGATGGTGCAAGCCACTTTATGACAGAAGGAACAAACCAATGTCTCCAGATGATCTCGAACAAACCCATGCTGCCTCTATTGATAATAGACTCTCTGATATTACTAATGAGGGTAAAGAGATTAACAGGTTGCTCAAGGATACCATGGATCACATTAAACCATCTAAGAAATCTCATGAGTGGAGAGCTTACCAGGACTACATTAACTGTGTCATTATTGATGGTATAACTAAGGCAATTGTCAGCTCAATCCATCATCTCTCAGATCAGATCTCCATTGACTACAACAGGCATAATGACTTGCAGCCAATGTTTGATGTTAAGGTGTGACTTGGAGACAAAGATGTTGAATTTGAACCACCAATCAGAAGTAGTGAATCAGAAAATGGTATCAGAGACATCATCTTCAGAATTGTAGATGGATTTATTTCCATTGCCATCAAGATCAACAGAGTTGATAACCAACAACTCGATTATCTTATTGAAGTGAAAGACCAAATGACTATGTTCTTCGCCCTATCTTTGATCTCAAAGAACATGAATGAAATGGAGAATGAGACTGACTCTTTCTTGACACAATATGATAGTTTCTCTTTCCTCTGGAAAGATGATATTGAAGTCAGTTTCAAGGAATTCATTGAGGGTGCCGGAGAAGCCCCAGTACACATGAAACCAGTTGAAGGAGGTGAAGATGGAGAAATGGAAGAAGATGAATCATACAAATGGATGGCTGAAAAGATCCTTGACGGAATCACAATCAACAAACCATCCCTTGAAGCTTTTGATGAAAAGATTACTTTCCTTACTAGTATCTCAGGAAAAATCCAAGAAATGGAAACCTCTACTCCAAGAGGTTGGTTGAAGATTAATTCTCAACCTCTCAAGGACTCTTTGAGCCAGATTATCCATTCATGGATTAAGAAGTACACTCAATTCTTGCTTGAAAACACTGTACAAGAAATTAACAACATGATAAACTTCACAAATGAAGTAAATGACGGAATAAAGGTCATTCCAGAAAAGGTTGACTCTCAAGAAGAGAAAGATCTCCTCATGAAAGTAATGACTCATCTTAGAGATGTCAAAATGATCAAGGATCATGCCCTCAGCGAAATTAACCCAATGAAGGAAACAGTTCAACTTTTGAAGAAGCATGGTGTCCAGGCTGATGAAGACCTTCTCCTCAAAATTGAGAACTCAAAGACCCAGCTGACTGAAGTATCTGAGAGAGCTTTGGGATCAATCAAGGAACAAATTCTTCCATTGCAGACCCAAGAAGGAAGAAACATCAAGAAGCAATTGGACCAATTCTCCATTACTATTGAGAAGTATAGAGAGGAATTCTTGAAGGATCTGCCTTTCCATATCAAAGATACATCAGACAATATTATCAATAGTGCCTATGAAAAAATCTCAATTTACTATGACAAGACTATTAAGCTAGAAGACCAAGCTAAGAAATACAACAATCTTGAGACCTTGTTCGAACTTCAGAAGTCAGGCTACTCTGATCTCAAGGACTGTAAGAATGAACTTAAGAGTCTTAAATACATGTGGGATCTCATTCAGCTAGTCCACTACCAATTCAATGCGTGGAAGCTCACATTGTGGGATAAGATTGATACTGATTTCTTGCTTGCTCAGATCAAGGAACTCCAGAAGAAGCAAGTAAACCCTGTTAATCCTGCTAACAAAGAGATCAAGAACTGGTCTGCATTCACTGCTCTGAACGAAAGAGTAAAGAACATGGCTGTAATTCTTCCTTTGATCAGTGATTTACACTCTAAATCTATGATGAACAGACACTGGAAGAAATTGATGGCAATCACTGGAAAGAATATCCAATTCAGCTCTCCAAAATTCTGCTTGGAAGATCTCATTCAACTCGAACTCTACAAATATTCTGACGATGTCAATGAACTGGTCGATTCAGCCAACAAAGAGGCAAGAATTGAGACTAACTTGGGAAAAATCCAAAAAGTTTGGGAAGACGAAGTCCTTTCCTTCAATGAGTACAAGGGATGCTTTATCATTGGTGCACTTGACGAAACTATTGAGTATGTTGATGATCATTCAATGCAACTCATGGGAATGATGTCCCAGAAAGATGTTGAAGAGTTCAAGGAAACTGTCCTTGAATGGCAGAAAAAGCTCAAGGCTGTAGATACTCTCCTCGGAATCTGGATTAAAGTACAGAAGAACTGGCAAAGATTAGAGACTATCTTCCTTGCTTCTGAAGATATCAAGGCTCAACTTCCTGAAGATACAAAGCGATTCCAAAAAGTGGATTCTGACTGGCGTGAACTTATGATTGAGGCTGAGACTGAACCAAGTGTTATTGAAGCCTGTAACTATGAAGGAAGAGAAGAACTATTGTTTGAAATGCACTCTGAAATTGAACTCTGCGAGAAATCCTTAAATAACTACCTTGAACAAAAGAAGAAGGTTTTCTCCAGATTCTACTTTGTCTCCAACCAGGCCTTGCTCGATATTCTGTCTAACGGTAACAATCCAGAAATTGTCAACGGTTATCTTGGGGATTGTTTCAACGGAATGAAATGTGTCAAATTTGTCGAAGAAGGACCAAGGCCTTACAAGGTTGCTGAAGGAATGATTTCTAAAGAGAACGAATATGTTAAGTTTGGAAACAAATTCGAATTCAACGGAGCAGTCGAAAACTACTTGTGAGACCTTGAAACAAAGATGATGCACACTTTGAGAGATATTGCTGAAGTCGCTAGAGGAACAGCAGAAACTTGGGACCTTGACACAAAGAGACACATCTGGCTTGATGATTATTGTGCTCAGATCTCCCTCCTCATCACCCAGATAGTCTGGACTGAAGAAGTCAACCGTGCTTTTGAAGAACTTGAAGGTGGAGGAGAAGGAGCGATGAAGAATTATCTCGCTGAGATCAAAAACAGAATTGGATTCTTGATTGAAAGAGTAAGAGAAGACTTGTCTAAAGAACTCAGAGATAAGGTCATCACTATCATTACAATTGATGTTCATGAAAGAGATGTTGTCCAGAAGTTTGTCGAACAGAGAATTGATGATATGGGATCATTCGCTTGGCAGTGTCAGCTTAAGTTCTTCTGGAGAGAAGATAAAACTGATGAAAAGAAGCACTGCTTCTCAGAAATTTGTGATTACTTCCTAAGGTATTCTTATGAATATGTTGGAAACTGTGGTAGACTTGTTATCACTCCACTTACTGATAGATGTTACATCACCCTGACTCAGGCTTTGAACTTGACAATGGGAGGAGCTCCAGCTGGACCAGCAGGAACTGGAAAGACAGAGACTGTAAAGGATCTTGGAAGAGCCTTGGGACTTCCAGTCGTGGTATTTAACTGCTCAGATCAGATGAATTATGAATCAATGGCTCAGATCTTTCTGGGATTGTCTCAGAGTGGATCATGGGGATGCTTCGATGAGTTCAATAGAATCAGTATTGAAGTGTTATCAGTCGTCTCTACCCAAGTAAAGTCAGTCCTTGATGCTTTGAAGGAATGTGCTGATAATCCTAGTAAAGGAAACATGTTCACCTTCCAGGAAGAAGAAGTAAAACTCAGACTCACAGCTGGATTTTTCATTACTATGAACCCAGGATATGCCGGAAGAACTGAATTGCCAGAAAACTTGAAAGCTTTGTTCAGAAGTTGCGCTATGGTTGTCCCTGATATTATTCTCATTTGTGAGAACATGCTTATGTCTGAAGGTTTCAAAGATGCCAAAGAATTATCTGAGAAATTCATGACCTTGTACACTCTTTGTAAGAGTCTTCTCTCTATTCAGATTCACTATGATTGGGGTCTCAGAGCTGTAAAGTCTGTATTAAGACAAGCAGGAGGGCTTAAGAGAGAAGATCCAAGTGCTCCAGAACAAAGAATTCTCATGAGAGCCTTAAGAGATTTCAACTTGCCAAAGATTGTCTCTTATGATAGGAATATCTTCTTGGGGTTGATCAACGATCTTTTCCAAGGTATTGAAGTTGAAGCCAAGACCAATCCAACACTCAAAGAAGCTGTTACACAGATGACCTTGAAAGATAAGAAGCAGGCTGAAGAAGCTTTTGTTCTCAAATGCGTTCAATTCTACGAAATCTTACAAGTCAGACATTGTATGTTTATCATTGGTAATGCAGGAAGTGCTAAGACTACAATCTGGAAGATCCTTGCTGATGCCTTGAACCACTTGGGTGAGAAGACTATATATGAATTTGCTGATCCAAAGGCTGTCACCTCAGATGAATTGTTCGGAGCAATGAATCCAAAGACTAAAGAATGGAAAGATGGAGTTCTTTCTACAATCATGAGAGACATGAACAGAAATAATGGAAGATTTAATGCTGACCAAGTCTACAAATGGGTTGTCTTAGATGGAGATGTTGATCCTAACTGGATCGAATCACTCAACACTGTCATGGATGATAACAAGGTGCTCACGCTTGTGTCTCAGGAACGTATTCCATTGACTCCAGAGATGAGACTGATTTTGGAAGTATCTCATTTGGATAACGCCACTCCAGCTACTGTTTCAAGAGGAGGAGTCTTGTTCATCAACGATACTGATGTTGGATGGAGGCCATACATTGATTCATGGATGGATAGACTAAAGGAGAAAGGAGATAATAATGCCAGAACTGTGTTCTATTTGGCTCTCACTCACTACATGAATGATGATAACCTCGAGAGAATATTCCAGTTAAGTACAATCACTCCATGTGTCACAATTGCTTACATAAAAACTCTATGCTGCATCATTGATGCTCTCTATGCTCAACTTAGTGAGGTGAAGGAGTATTCTAATTTGATGAAGAAACTCAAATCTGAGGGAGATGATGAGTACATCAAGAGAATTTATGAAGCATTCTTCATTTATGCTTTCATGTGGTCATTTGGAGCTGCTTGTGATGATGATTCATACATTAGCTTCAATAGTACTATGAAGAGTCTTGCTAAGATTAAATTCCCAGAACAAGGAATTTGCTACGACTTCTTCTTCGATCCAATCGCTAATGACTGGATTCACTGGGAAGAGAAAGTACCAGCTTATGAGGCTGATTTTGATAAACTATATCAAAACATTGTTGTTCCAACTGCCGATACCATTAAGCACAAAAGTATTCTTGATTTGCATATGAAGCAAAGAAAACCAGTTCTTTATGTTGGATCTGCCGGTACTGGTAAAACTACCATCATTAAAGATTACTTCTTGAATGTTGATAAAGAAACTGCTGTTGTTGCATCTATCAACTTCAATTCTTACACTGACTCAAAAGATCTCCAAGCTGTTATGGAATCAAATGTAGATAAGAGAGCTGGTAACACTTATGGACCTCCACCAAATCATGTTTTGATTTACTTCATGGATGATGTTAACATGCCTTTAGTCGACGAGTTTGGAACTCAATCCCCAATTTGTTTGATTAGGCAATTGATCGATTATGGAATTGTCTTTGATAGAGATCATCTTGAAGAAAAGAAGAAACTTGTTGATTGTCTCTACACTGCTTGTATGAATCCAAAAGCAGGATCATTTGTAATTGATTTACGTATGCAAAGACATTACTCTGTTTTCGCTTGTCTCACAACCTCTTCTGAAATCTTGAAAACAATCTATGGCCAACTGTTAGATTCTCACTTATCCCACTTTGAGCAAAATATTAGTCAACTTTCGGATAAATTTATCGAAGCAATCACTATTGTTTTCAATGGAATAGTGAAAACTCCTCAGTTCTTCCCAACAGCTAAGAAATTCCATTACCAGTTCAACTTGAGGGACTTCTCCAAGATTGTGCAGAACTTGCTTCTGTCTAACCCTCAGTTATACAGGAATGAGCCACAAAAATTGTACAGGCTCTGGTTGCATGAGAGTCACAGAGTGTACCTAGATAGGCTCCTCTTTGAAGATGATGTAGAAACTTACATGAAGTTTGTTAAAGAAGCTGGAAAGAAGTTTGATGTTAAAGAAGAAATCCTCTATGAAGAACCACTTATCTACAACAGCTTTGTCTCTGCAGCTCAAGGTCATGAGAAATCTTATTTACCAGTTGAAGATATCTCTGTACTCAAGAAAGTTCTTGAAGATAAACTGTTCGAGCACAATGAAAGCTATGCTACTATGGACTTAGTGCTCTTCCAGCAAGCCATGGAGCATGTCTGTAGAATTTCCAGAATTATTGACCAGCCATGTGGAAATGCCCTCTTGATCGGAGTTGGTGGGTCTGGTAAACAATCTTTGTCTAAACTTGCTGCGTTCATTCTTGATTATGATGTGATCAGACTTATGGTCAGTACTAACTACTCATTGAATGATCTCAAGGAAGATCTAAGAATAATGTACACTAAGGCAGGAGTCACTGGAATCCAGATACTGTTCGTCTTAACTGACTCTCAGATCATTAATGAAAAGATGCTTGTGTTCATTAATGATATGCTCTCCTCTGGTTGGGTTCCAGACCTTTTCCCTAAGGATGAGTTTGATGGACTTCTTGGAAAGATTAGAACTGAAGCTAAGAGTGCTAATTATGGGGATACTCCAGATCAAATCTTTGAATTCTTCTTGGACAAATGTAGAAAGAATCTTCATATTGCTCTTTGCTTCTCCCCAGTTGGTGACTTGTTCAGAATCAGAGCCAGAAGATTCCCAGGTGTCATCAACTGTACCCAGATTGATTGGTTCCATGAATGGCCCAGGGATGCCCTTATCGGTGTGGCAGGAAGATTCCTAGAAGAAGTTGAGCTACCAACTGAAGAAATCAGAGAAGCTGTTTCTCTCAACATGGCTGAGTGCCATTTATCAATTGCAAAGGCAAACAAAGATTTCTTGGCTAGAGAAAGAAGGTATAATTACACTACTCCAACATCCTTCCTGGAGTTGATCAAATTCTACAAATCTCTGTTTAAAAAGAAGGTCGATAAGATCAACGATAACATTGAAAGGCTTGAAACTGGTCTATCAACAATGGCTTCCACAACAGAACAGGTTGAAGGCCTCAAGGAAAAACTCGAGATCAAAATGGTTGATGTCAAGCAACAAGAGGAAGAAACCAATGCTCTTATTGAAGTTGTCGGAAAAGAATCGCTCATCGCTGAGAAAGAACAGGAATTAGCCAATGTTGAACAGGAAAAAACAACTGCTCTTGCCAATGAAGCAAAGAGAATCAAAGATGAAGCTGATAAAGAGCTCGAAGAAGCTATCCCAGCTATGAAAGCTGCTGAAGAAGCTGTTAACTGTTTGACAAAGAAATCTATTGGTGAGCTCAAATCTCTACCAAAACCTCCACCAGAATGTGTTGATGTCACAACAACAGTTCTAATGCTTAGAGGTGAGAAAAAGAACTATACATGGCAGAACGCCCAGAAAATGATGAACAATCCTGTAAAATTCATTGATGAAATGAGAGCTTTCGATGGAAGAGATATTGATGATTCTATTCTAGGAAAGATTGCTGTTATTTTGAAGAAGGACTTTTTCACATTTGATATAATGCTGGGTAAATCACAAGCTGCAGCTTATCTCTGCAAATATGTAAACAACATCATTACTTTCAACACTATCTACAAGAAGGTTAAGCCCTTGATGGATGCTGCAGCAGATGCAGAGAAGCAAAAGAAGGATGCTGAGGCAAGCCTCAAGATAGTCGTTGATAAAGTAAATGCAATCAATGCTCAAGTTGATGAATTAAAGGCTAAGCTTGCTGAAGCTGAAGATACCAAGGCTAAAGTCCTTGCTGAAGCCAACGCATTGCAGAACCAACTTGATCTTGCTGAAAGACTTGTAGGTGGTTTGGCTGATGAGAACAAAAGATGGGGAGAAACTGTACAAACTTTGAACAACGATAAGCTCACAATGATTGGAGATGCTCTTCTCTCAGCTGAATTTGTATCATATATTGCTCCATTCAATTCTCAATTCAGAGATTGGCTGTGGAAAGAAATCTGGCTTCCTGATATTATTGAAAAGAAGATTCCAATGACTGAAGGAGTAGATCCTCTATCAGTACTTGCTACACCAGCAGAACAAGCAGGATGGAAGAATGAAGGATTGCCATCTGATAGAGTCTCACTTGAGAATGCCTCAGTTATTGTCAGTTGTTCAAGATGGCCATTGATTATCGATCCTCAGTTACAGGGGCAAAAATGGATTAGAGGAAGAGAAGGAGGAGACCTCAAAACACTGCAATTGTCTCAAAAGGCATGGATGAAGACTGTTGAATTTGCAGTATCAAACGGACAAATCTTGCTTATTGAAGGTATTTCTGAAGAAATTGATTCTGTACTTGATCCATTGCTCTCAAGATCAATCATTAGGAAAGGAAGAAACAACTTTGTACTCAAGCTTGGAGCTGAAGAGATTGAATATAACCCAAGTTTCAAATTGTATCTTCAGACTAAGCTGTCTAATCCTCACTATAAGCCAGAAATTGCTGCTCAATGTACTATCATAAACTTTATTGTCACTGAATCTGGCCTTGAAGATCAATTGCTTGCTAGTGTTGTCAGAGTTGAAAAACCAGACTTAGAACAGACTAAAGAGGAATTAGTGAATAAACAAAATCTTTTCCAGATTGAATTAGCTCAATTGGAGGAAGAATTGTTGATTAACTTGTCTAATGCTGATCCAGCTACGATTCTGACAAATACTGCTTTGATTGAATCTCTAGAAAAGACAAAGGCTACTTCTAAAGAAATCCAAGAACAACAAATTATTGCTAAGGAGACAGAGATTCAAATCAATGAGTCAAGAGAAGTTTATAGAAGAGTTGCTGCTGAAGGATCCATGCTTTACTTCTTGCTCATCCAACTCTGTATTGTCGATCACATGTACCAATATTCATTGGAGTCATTTAATACTTTCTTCTTCAGATCTTTTGAGAAGACTCCACAATTTGAAAGTGACGAGAAGAGAGTGGTTGAACTCAGAGAACAGATCAGGACTACGATCTATCAGTGGGTGTCCAGAGGATTATTCGAAAGACATAAGCAAATATTCTTGTGCCAGATTACTTTCAGATTAATGCAAAAGAAGATCCTTGAAGTTGATTACACTCCTCAAGAATTCAATTTCTTGATCCAATGCCCAATCAAGACTGAAGTACCAAACCCATTAAAAGAGTGGCTTCCAGATCTGTCTTGGTACTCCATCCAAAAGCTGATTGATATCGAAGGATTTGAGACATTTGCTCAGAACTTGGAGAAGGAATCTCCAACAAGATTTAAGCAATGGTATGATGAACTCCAACCAGAGAATGAGAAACTCCCACTCGACTGGAGTAAGCTTGAGACTATGCCATTCCAAAAATTGCTTGTACTCAGATGCTTGAGACCAGATAGGCTCACTGTTGCTTTGGATAACTTCATTAAGAAGAAACTTCCTGAGGGTTCAAAATATGTAGATATGGATTCTACATCTTCATTCCAGGACATCTTGTCATCCTCACTTGGTGAATCCACAACAACTACTCCAATCTTCTTCATCTTGTCTCCAGGAGCCAATCCGGTTAAAGAAGTAGAGCAGGTTGCTCCAAGCATGGGTATTGATCCTTACAAGCAATTCCACAATGTTGCCCTCGGACAGGGTCAGGATGTAATCGCCATGAACAAACTGGAGCTTGGACATAAGGAAGGACATTGGGTAATGCTTCAGAATATCCACTTGATGCCTAAATGGTTGTTAGAACTTGAAAAGAAGTTGGATGAGTTTGCCTTAGAAGGATCAAATCCATCATTCAGACTCTTCTTGTCTGCCGAGCCATCCAACGATATCCCAATTGGTGTTCTGGAACGATCCATCAAGTTGACTAATGAGCCTCCACAAGGACTGAAGCCAAACATGAAGAGAGCTTTCACCTTCTTCTCAAGAGACCAGATTGAAAGATTTGATGCTAAAGTGAAGACTATCTTGTTCGCCCTCTGCTACTACCACTCTGTGGTCATTGAGAGAAGAAAGTTTGGACCAAAGGGATGGAATATGTCTTACCCATTCAGTATGGGAGATCTCAGAGATTCAGCCATTGTGCTCCAGAACTACATGGAAAGAAACGCAGCCAGTGGTAAAGTCCCATGGGACGATTTGAGGTATCTCTTCGGACAGATCATGTATGGAGGTCATATCGTAGATGACAGAGACAGAATCTTCAACACTTGCTTCTTGGAAAATCTCATGAAGGACAGCTTGTTAGATGAAGCAGAACTCTTCCCATTTGTAGAGGGTAAAGGAGTGTCATTCAGATGTCCAGGAGTCCTTTCCTATGACAAGTACATTGAGCATATTGATGAAGGCCTCGTTCAAGAAACTCCTCTCGCTTATGGAATGCATCCAAATGCCGAAATCGATTTCAGAACAACTCAATGCCTCGTACTGTTCAAAACTTTGGTTGAACTGCAACCAAAGGATTCTGGAGATGATGAATCAGGAGGTGGTAATATCAAGATTGAAAAAACTCAAGAGCTCATGGTAAAAATCAACGATGATATCCAACTTGACCAGAACAAGCCAAACATGGAAGATATCCTCAGTAAACTTGGAGAGGATAGAGATCCATTCCAGAATGTCTTCTTGCAAGAATGTGAATACATGAGTGTTCTCATTGAAGAAATCTTGAAATCCCTTTCAGACTTGGAACTCTCATTCAACGGAGAATTGACAATGACTGATCAAATGGAAGCTTTGATGGACTCTATCTTCCTAGATAATGTCCCTGATAAGTGGCAGAAACTTGCTTTCCCATCATCAAGAGGACTTTCATCCTGGTTGATTAATCTCAAGCATAGACTTGAGCAATTAAATATCTTCAGAGATGACCCATCGACCCAGATGAAGGTAGTGTTCCTGAATAGGCTGAAGAACCCACAGTCATTCTTGACTGCAGTAAGACAGAAGTCTTCCAGAGATAACGGTCTTGAATTAGACAAGCTGTACATCCAGACTGAAGTCACCAAGAAAATGCATAATGAGATCGAAGGAATGCCAAGAGATGGAGCTTATGTGTTCGGATTCCACGTTGAAGGAGCTAGATGGGATGCAGGAGTCAGCCAGCTTGAAGAAAGTGAACCAAAGAAGCAATTCAGTGTTGTACCAGTGATTAATGTCAAGGCAGCTCTTGTACAAAAGGATGGAAAAGAAGAAAAAGGTATCTATAAGTGCCCAACCTACATGACTGTTGCCAGAGGAGCCACCTACGTATTCACAGCACAGCTCAAGACTAAGCATCCAGCTCAAAAATGGATTATCGGAGGTGTTGCCATGATTCTAGATGTTGAAGGAGTCGCTGATGCTTACACAATAGATAAAGAATAATCATTAATTGATTGTAACCCTTATTAATATTCGTTCTCAATACTATTTTACTAGTCCGGGGTTTTGGGGTTTTGGGGTTTTGGGGTTTTGGGG